GCAATGTATGATTTGGTATGAGATACCAAGAAGTAATGAATAATTTCTCACAGACTTGGGCATCTGAACAGATGGAAAATAAAGAAAAACACAGAAGTTATTGGTGGCAGAAACTGTAGGTTGTCTATCCTGGCATGCATTCTCCTGTCCTTCCTTCCTGCTACTTTGGAATAGGAATGAAATGGCTAGAACCCCAGCAGTTATCTTAGACCATGAGGCAACACGTTCATGGCAGGAGACAAAAAAGAGAGAAGAAACCTGGGTCTCAGATAACACCATAAAGCTTCTGCCCCAACCTCACAGTGTCTGTTCCTAGATATGATGGTAAACCACAGAAGCCCCGTTTTAATGAATAGACATGGTCTGGGTAGCCTAGTTAGCAAAGAATAGCACTTTAGGCTTGCGGAATATTTCTACATTTGAGGAAGGAATTCATGGAAGAAGGTGGTCATGCTTGTTTGGGTTTGTGTTCCAGGAAATGTTCAAGGGATTGGAATCTGGCTCAAAGTCCTGCCAGTTTGAAATGTGTTGTTGTTGTTGTTGTTTTGATATAGTGAGTGTTGTATTTGGAGGAAATGGGGGCAGGGATCTAGCATGCATCTTGTCCTGGCAGCTCTGGGAATGAAACAGGGAGGTTAGGACTCAGATGGAGGCTAGGAGGTGTAGAGGGGATGGGTAACAGTTATTCTGGTTGACTCTGGATTTGAGAGATGTTGCCAGTTCTCCCGTCAGGGTCATTGCATGTACTCATCTCAGCATAGCCTTGAATCTGAGGGTGGAATCTGCCCCACTGTATCACTGCCAGCCCTTTTGGGAGAGTCCAAGTTCATGCCGTACTTGGTTAAGAAATCACTTTTCTCTGTGCAGTGCCAGTGACTAGTGCCTGAAGAGGCCCTGCCAGATCCAAGACAGAGTCAGAAAGAGAAAGGAAGAGAGAGATAAAAGGGGAGAGAGTAGAAAATAAGGAAGGGGTAGAGGTACATGTGAAGGGCCAAGGCTGAGAAGGAGAAGAGGAGGAAAGAAAGGGGTGTATGTTGTGAGACGCAGTTAGTAGAGAAGAACAATAATCCATAGCAGCCTCAGAGGAGAGAAAGAAGCCTCAGGGAACAGCCATGAGGACATACCTTCCTGAGCTTTAGGTTGCTTTTGAAATTCATTTTGCTTGTTACTTCTTTCTGCCTAAGCTGCCTCCACCTTCTCCACTTTTCTCCGAATCATCACAGCCATTCCAGAAGCCCAGAAATTTCCTCTCTCACCCTTGTAAACCAAGAACCTTAGAGAATGCTAGCCAATAAACTGCTCTTTCCAGATTCCTACACTAATATCAAAAGTCTATGCTCATTGTGCAAATAATGCAGGATGACTGCTTCTTAGCATCCTTGACACCTCTAAGCAGGTTCTGGCTCTACTAATGAAACAGATTATTTTCTACTCCAGATAGTAACAATTGTTTCCACATATCAAGTGTTTACTGTGTACATGTACCCTGCTAACCACTCTCCATGCAACTTAATCAGCCCCAATTTCAAAGGAAAAGGCTCTGTTATTAGCTAGATTTTGCAAAGGAGAAAACAGAAGCTCAGCGACATTAAGTACCTTGCCTGAGGCCCCAGATCCGCCACGTCCAAGTCTCAGAGCAGATAGCACAGGATTCAAACCCAATCCCTGACTAGTTTCAAGGCCCATACCTTTGATTTCCACACCTCATTGCCTCATGAAATGACATGCTTCATTTCCTGAGTTGAGGTTGGAATGTGGCATCTATGGTAGAATTTATTCATGGGTTCTTCCTCCCTTAAACTCCATGTTAAATGGGTCATCTGTTCTTCTGGGGGCCTTGGTAGGGTGAATAAGATTTCAGAAAATTCTCTGCAACTAGGTCCCTGGCCAACGTGCACTGTTCTTGCCTCCAGATGTCATACCTTGTGCCTGAGGACAACTTTTGTTGACCTGAGAAAATTTAGCAAAAAGCAGAATAGAAGCCAATCATGTCACTTATTGTCTCCTAAGTGGCTTCACTTCTAAGCTTCTTTTTCAAAGGTAAGTTTTTAATTCCAGAGATTGCGTTTGACTTCAAAAGCCCTCTTCTAGGGTGGGTTTTCTCTCCACACTCTTCTCAACAATCTCTTACTCTCTGGAACCACAAAGTTTATGATAGGCTGGGCACAGTGGCTCAAGCCTGTAATCCTAGCACTTTGGGAGGCTGAGTCAGGGAGATACCTGAGGTCAGGAGTTTGAGACCAGCCTGGCCAACACGGTGAAACCCGATCTCTACTAAAAATACAAAAATTAGAGTGGTGGTGGGTGCTTTTAGTTCCATAGTCCCAGCTACTCAGGAGGCTGAGGCATGAGAATTGCTTGAATCTGGGAGGCAGAGGTTGCAGTGAGCTGAGATTACTCCACTGCACTCCAGCCTGGGCAACAGAGTGAGACTACATCTCAAAAAAAAAAAAAAAAAAAAAAGCTTATTCTAGTTCTTTCCATGTAAGTAATCACGCTTGTTTATTAGTACTGAAGCACACACCAAACAGAATTTAGAAGGGAGGAGAAGGAAAGGGAAAGATTAACACAATTTATTCTAATGGGTAATAGCAAAAACAGAATCAATATCTCCAGATTATACTTTACAAATAACCACAGGACATTTGGCCCATAGACAAAGTGAGTCCATAGATAACTAGCTTATCTAATTTTAAAAATCAATAGAGCACAAACTATTGTTGGCCGTTATGTTAAAAATCCCAATATTTGTTTGGAAGTGGGGGAAGGAGAAGTGAGGAGATGTTAGACTCAAAACCCCTGTTTCTTCATTTAACCCAAACCCTTACCATCACCTATAAAGCCCTAGTAATCTGGCCCCTGCCCATGTTGCCAGCCCCACCAACCTACCTTCTTATCACACAGAAATCCTTCCACCTCAGGACCTTTGCACCTGCCATTCCCACTGCCTGGATGCTCTTTCCCAGATGTTTGCATGGCTTGCTCTTCACTGCATCCCAGTCACTGCTCAAATGCCACCCTTTCAGACAGGCCAAAACATCCATCCCCTCTAAGTATCCTGCACACTCTCTGTCCCCATGCTGTGCTTTATTTTTTATATTAGCACTTCTCACTTCCTGACATTACACATTTCCACGTATTTATATGCTTGCTATCTCCCCAGCACAATGTAAGTTCCATGCACACAGAGACTTGTTATTTCTGTGCTCTGCTGTATCTCATAAGCCTGGAACACTGCCTGGCATATGGCAGGCCCTTAACAAAGAAGTGAATTGAATGCTCATGATCACTCTTTATGAAGTAAGTGGTGTCATCCCCTTTTAACAGAGGAACTGGCCTCTGAGAGGTTAGGTTTTCTCAATCAGAATTAGAATCGGAATTGAAGATTTGTTTGTCTAAACAACAAAACCAGTGTTGTGTTTACTATATCATTCTGTTACACAAAAGAAAGAAAAAAATGATATTTCAATCACCTCACCCCATTGTCATATTTCACCCTCACAGCAGTCCTGTGAAGGGGTCCTAACGACCCCCTTTACAGATCAGGGAAAACAAGCTCATCTTATCCAATGTGGAACCCAGGCAGCAGGGGCAGACCAAGTTTTTGAGGAGCCTAACGTACAATTTGGGGGATCCTCTTTAAGAAACATAATACAAAACCACAAATGAAATTAGGCTCAGGGTCTTAGAACAGGCCTCACAACTAGGGCCTGATGCTTCACCCTGGTTAGCTTCCAGGGGAGGCAGCTGGTGCCCATCAGGAAAAGTGTTGCGGCTGCCCTTAGCCAGAAGCAGGGGTCACAGGTGGCTCTGAGTGAACCAGCACCAACACGAGCACCAGGGAAAGCAGGTGCCACTGCTCTTGCTTGGTTGTTAGCTCTGTTTTTGTTGTTTTTAAGAGACAGGATCTCACTCTTTTGCCCAGGCTGGAGTGCAGTGGTGTGATCACAGCTCACTGTAACCTTGAACCCTTAGACTCAAGCGATCCTCCCCCTTCACCCTCCCCAGTAGCTGGGCTACAGGCACACACCACCACACCTGGTGATATTTTTTGTAGAGACAGGGTTTCGCCATGTTGCCCAGGCTAAACTCGAACTTCTGGGCTCAAGCAATCCTCCTGCCACGGTCTCCCAAAGTGCTGATTACAGGCGTGAGCCACAGCTCTTAAGGGAGCTCCTTAACCTTCCTGCCTCAGTTTCCTCCTTCAGAGTAATGTCGATGAAACTGGAACAACATTAAGAGTGAGCAGAGTTGATGCTCACATTCAAGGGGGTGTTTCAAAGGAGGCCCACGGGGCTTTGCTGCTCCCAGACATCGGACACTGCCTGGAACTGTTCCTCGGGTTGCACAGAGCGAGCCCAGCTTCTGAGGGGACAGAGCCCGCACCCAGCAGTGGACCCCGTGAGGACCTTGGAGCCCCCAGAGCCTGACTTGGGTTCAACTCTGCCAGGAATTAGCTGTGACTTTGGAAAGTAACGATTTCTTCATCCGAGAAACGATGGGGGTGGCTTGAATGTGTTCGTCTCTACGGTCTTGTCCGGAATCTAAGTTGCTCTCTGCGCTTCCAAACACACCCCGCGAGCTGAGGCTCAGCCTTCTCTGTAGGCTGCTCTCAATGTACTGGGGACGTTCCCGTTATCGGCTGGGATTGAGGGAAGGAAGATTTGGGAGTGCTGACCTTGATGGGCAAGAATACTTTTTATCTTACTGTTTAGGGAGGGCGTGTGTTTGGAAATCAGCTTCTGAGCCTTGGAAGGAGAGGAAAGGGGAATATGAGGAAGTTGGGGGCCCAAAGATCCAGGACAGTCCCTGAAAACGCAGCCTTTATCTGCCCCGGAGGCGGGGTGGGAACGCGAAGGCAAAGCCGCTGTTAAAGGAGAAAGCCAGTGTGTGCCTGAGCGCCTTAAGCGGCGGGCACGAAAGGATGGGACGAACGGCCGGGGCTCCTCTCTGCCACGGCCCGGGCCGCGGGTCTGGGGGCAGGGGCAGCCCGCGGGCGCTCACCTTGCGGCCGTTCACGTAGAAGAGCAGTTCGGACGCCCTGTCCATTGTGGTGTCCGCGCTGGTTCGAGGGCCCAGAGCGGGAGGCGGCGGTTCTGGGAAGTAGCGGGCACCTGGGACCGGGGGGCACCGACCCGCCGTGTGGGACGGGGCTTGCTGGAGCCTGAAGTCCAACCCACACCCTGACCGAGAAAGCCTTGATTAAGATCCAAAGTTCCTGAGCTCATTGCCAGGAAAACTCTTCCCGGGACACCAGCACGTGTGTGGGCGTCACTGGCGCCCTCTATGTGGGCGGAAATCATCCGGCGAAGATGAAGACGACCCCTTCATCTCCTTGCCAGTGGCGCTGAGCGTCTGTGTCACACCCTCTTGCGTCTTAGCAAACATTGTAAGTCCTGGGACATTGCTTTTGATGGTCTTATGTTATTGCGTATTTTAGGTGATGTTCCAGCTGGATTTAAGTCTGGGAACAGTAGTACCTCTCCTCCAACCAGGCCTGCTGTAGTTCTGGACTCTTAAGTGTAAACAATCATATTTATTCCAACTCTGCAGGAGCGGATCTTAGGGAAAACAAAAAGGTTTACAACTTGATCTTCTAGAAATATAAGGTTGGTGCAAAAGTAATTGCGGTTTTTACCATACCTTCCAATGGCAAGAACTGCAATTAATCTTGCGCCAACCTAATAATTACTGGTTTTAAAACGAAGAGCTACCTTGATATAAATTTAAAAATTTTATCACTATTTACAGTTTATCCAGTAACTAACCACCAAGTTTATCTGGTAAATAAGAACAGAGATGTAAAACATCTTGGAAAACTTTAAAAAAAAAAAAAAACTTGGAAAATACAGCAAAGCATAAAAATAAAGATCACCTAAGTCCACAACTTAGAGCTTACCACCATTCACTTTGGTCTATCCTTACTTTTTGAAACATGTACACCTTTAAAAACTTACGTGGGATTAAACTAGTTATTTTCCAGGCTTCTTTTCACTTGCCATACCTTAGAACATTCTCCCATGTTATTTCATTTATGTAAACACAAAAATTTTGTTGTGAAATTTTCCAAACTTTGTACATAAAAGTGAAGAGTGCAACTGGCATCTACCTGCCCTTCACTGAGTTTTAACAAAACATTTTGCCATACTCCATTTTTTGTAGTATTTAAAAGCCAATCCTGGACATATTTTAGCCCTAAATACTTCAAAAACACACATACACATTCTTTTAGTCAGTTGCAATGCCATTTCTCAGTGTCTAAAAAATGTCTTTTACACTTGACTTCTTTGAATCAAACAAGAGCTGTGCAACGTATTTGCATGTGGTCTCATCAGCCTCTTTTGATCGAAAACAGACTTTTTAACACTGTTAACATATTGAAAAAGAAACCAGGTCAGTTGTCCTATTTAAATGAAACATTTTTTGAATGTGGCTCTCCCTGGGTTGTTTTTCTACTCTACTTATTTCCTGTGTACTAAATATTAGATCTAAAGCTTTGATTAAATTCAGGTTCAATTTTTTTGTGGGGAGAGGGCAAGAACACTTCATAGGTGGTACCATACACTTAATATTGCAGCACAGCAGGAAGCATATGGTGTCTGGTTGTTTCATTCATAATGATGCTAACATTGATCAATGGGTTCTGAGGGCTATTCCTTTGTAATGAATTTCTTCATCAACATTTCACCTAATTGTTTTACATCCATTAGTTTTAATAGGGGGTTGCAATTTTTCTAATTCTAGTCTTTCTTCTTCATTCATCAACTGGGATTCTTTGACTAAAACTATCCATCCTTCACTGGAGCTATTGACTAAACCCCTAGAGCACTCTGTACCCCTACTGCAGTCTCTCAAAGTGTGGTACTAGGACAATCCTAGGACAGAGTTACCGGAAGCATCTGATTAAGATGCAGATTTCTGGGCCCACCCTTTAGTGGTCAGATACTGTCTAAAAAAGTTTTCCATCTAGGTGGAATACAGTTTGAGTAGTTATTTGAATTCAATAAACTGTGTATTGATCTCAGATATGAATAGGATTTTTTACTACTTATTACTGGAAGAGTAAGTGATCTTTAAAATAAAGTTATAAAAACCAAATTCAAAAGAGCCTGAAAGGTTAATCTCCTCCTCTAAGTCATCAGATTACATATAATAGAAGTAATACAGAAGCTGACATTCAACATGTATTTCTGAAAACAGAAGAATGAAGGGAGAGAAAACGGGCCAGGGAAGGAGGTGGCTTTTAAACCCTTTTAGATGTCCACATATATTGAATGGATTAAAAACACACAGCAAAACAAGACAGACTAGTATACAAGATAACCAATGCAAAGGTATTTAACACATTTTATTTGCTTAAAACGTTAATAGCTATTGTTTGGTTAAAGGCTACTAGGTAAAAAGAAGCTTAAATAAATAGGAAGATGTTATATGATGACCAAAATGACTTAAAAAGCTTAATGTTACAAAATAGCTATTTTATGCACATATACCTATTAATAAATATTAAGAATGGACAAATCAACACTCCGTGAAAGGCCAAAAAAAAAAACTTTTCATCAAGCACTTCATCTTCTTGATAGTAGTTATATTTCTGTTTTGATTCCTTATGCTTTGAATCAAATTCAGAAAAACCAGAATCCATACATTCACTTCATCTTCTCATCTTGCTGCAAAGTAGAAAAAAAGGAAGATTAATAACAACCCGAAATTAATGCTTTTGCTGTGACGCATGGAGAAGAAAATTGTTTCATCATATCAGTAGAAAAGAAGTTTCCTTAAACCATAAGCTTTGTTAAATATTTGAAATACTCTATTTTTTCTGAAATCTTATAGTTCTATCAGAGTATTTCAAATAATTCATTTCAAATATTTAAGAAAAATTAATCAACATAGATTTTATATATTACGTGTTTATTACATAGTTCCTTTTTATTAGAAATTTAGCATATGTTCAAGAACATGTGAAAATATACAATTTAAAAACAAAGTAAGTGCTCATGTTCCTACACCCAAGTTAAGAAACAAAATATTACCACACCTCCAGTGTGCCCCCTTCTGATCACATCCCTCTCCTCCCCGAAAAAGGGACCACTATCCTGAATTGTATTATCACTCCTTCTTTACGGTTTTTGTTTTAAGCACTTGTGTATTGCTCTCCTAAAAAGTATAATGTTTGGTTTTATCTATGTTTAATAGATATCTTTATATCAATGGAATCGTACTGTAGGTGTTTTTCTGTGACTTACCTTTTCCACTCAATATCTTCATTCATTTTCAAGCCTCTCCTTTATTTAAACATTAAGCATTTTATATTCTGTGTCTGATTTGCTGTTTCTGCTGATACCTTGTTCCCCTGTGTATGTAGTGTTTTTCTTAACTATGAGCTAGCCCTTCATTTTCCTTGGAACTTTGGCTGTGCAAAAAACATGTTGAGGTGTGAGATGGACAACTCCCTACAAAATATTTGCTTCTAATAGACAACAGGGCACTACAATTCATGCACTAATTATACTCAATCCTCAGCTTCAATTTTTTTGTGCCTTCGAAATATTGTGAATTCCAGCTATAATCTAATAAAGGCTGTATTTTGGTTATGAATTCTAGGGATTTTTTTCCTCCTTAATTCAGCACCCAAGTTATTCCCTGGGGCTGGGCAAGCTAGTGGGGAGGTTATTTTTAGTTTGCTCTTCTACTGAGAAAGTATATCAACTTTGTGGAAGAAGATCTAATAGCCTCTTTATTTTGGATAAACCCTAGGATTTGTCTTCTGTCCCTAGCCCCATAGGGCTGTGAATGAAATGTTTAGGTTCACCTAGTTAGACAAATATCTTCAGGATAAGGTCAGTTCCCCTCTGAGTTCCTGCTCTCATTTGATCTTTGATCTGAGCTTTTCTCAGTTTCCTACTAAAAGAAACATTGGTTAGCTAATAGTCATTAGCTAAGAAATGCATTCAAGGTACGTTTTTTAGTATTTTACCCAATAATTTTATTTTTTCAGTAAGAGGGTGGATTCATGCACCTAATACATCATGTTTCAAGATATAGAGTTTATTTATATTTTACATGCATGTGTGTAAGTATGGTTTTTAGATGAAATACATAGACATGGTCCCAAATTAAAAAGGTATACAAGATTAGGTGGAAAGGTCTCTTTCACTCCTTTGTACTCCTCTCCAGAGCCAGTGTGATACCACTGCCTTGGGTAATTAGATAGTTTAATTAATCCTGTCAAAAGAAGTACCTACTCTAAATAAAACACAGCAAAATACTGTAAGGAAATAATGTTCTATTTTAGTTTAGATGTACAGTGCGTGCAGATGATTTGCTATACAGCTTAGCTGGTAAAATTTTAAAAGCAAAAGTCACAACATTCAGTATAAATTCTGAGTGATGACCACCCAGTTGCCACATTTTTTCCTTCCTTCCTTTTTGGATTGGAAATGGTATGCACTAGGTATATCACAGCTTCTAGTAGCTCCTATGAAAGTAGATCCTAATTAAAGCTGCTTGCTATTATGGAATGATCATCATAGGTACTGAAGATATGAGTGGTAGGAGTTATCAGGAAGGTCACATAAATATGTTTTTAAAGTCTTTATCTCTTAAAGACTTTAAGCCTTTAGTCCAGAGCACTGAACATGACAAATGAGGACACTTTTAATATAAAAAAGCCCACAATCCAAAATGAATAGGTAATAATTATGATATTTACATAGCAAAAAGCAGAGGAACCACCTTTCTGAAGCAAAAACTACAGGAGATACATGGAAACACAGGACACAATACATTTTAATATACGACTCTTAGTATAACCTTAGTACAAAACAGATCATTTATTTACAAAAAATAAGTAAAGAGAAGATCTAAGCAACATAATAAATACAGTAAGTCTATGGATATATATCAAACTTTAGATCCTGATTATAGAGAATACACATTTTTCGCAAGCACAGCACAGTTATAAATGCTGATCCTATAGTAAGTCACAAAGAAAATACTGGCAATTTCCATAAAGCAGAAATATTACGATAAATAATTTCTGACCAAAATGCAATAAAACTAGATTTACAAATAAAAACAAAAAACCAGAAAGGTTCATCTACCTGGAATTTTTAAAACCTCCTAATAACTCCTGAAGAAAAGGAGAAACTTAAAAACCACATTGAAAACACTATGTATCAGAATCAAGATACATTGAAAGCACTGATCAAAGAAAAATTGATTGCAAGAGACACTTATTTTTAAAATTTGTTTTTTGTGTTCTATTTATTTATTTTTATTTTTAATTTTTTGAGTCAGGATCTTTCTCTGTGCAGTGGCACAATCATGGCTCACTGCAGCCTCAACCTACCAGGCCCAAACTATCCTCCCACCTCAGCCTCTCTAGTAGCAGCTGGGACTGACTACAAGCACATGCCAACATGCCTGGCTATTAAGTGTTGGGATTACAGGTGTGAGCCACTGTGCCTGGCCATAAAACACTGTTATCTATATAAATGAAAGAATAAAAATAATAAATGGAAATAAGAAAACAACAATAATAAAGTAAATCAAAGAAAACACAAAGAAGGAGATAATAAATATGAAGCAGAAATCAGTGAGGTAGAGAACAGAAAAATAGTTCCAATTAGTAAATCAAAGTCCTGATTTTCTGGAAAAGTTAATAAATAAACTACTACCTAATTTGATCAAGAAAAAGAGAAAAAGAACACACACAAAAAATGATAAATGATATAGGTAAAATAACTATGGGAAAAAAATTTAAAATTAATTTACATGTCTAATTCATTGAGCAGTGAATATTTTTATTTTTATTTATTTATTTATTTATTTATTTTTTTTGAGACGGAGTCTCGCTCTGTTGCCCAGGCTGGAGTGCAGTGGCCGGATCTCAGCTCACTGCAAGCTCCGCCTCCCGGGTTTACGCCATTCTCCTGCCTCAGCCTCCCGAGTAGCTGGGACTACAGGCGCCCGCCACCTCGCCCGGCTAATTTTTCGTATTTTTTAGTAGAGACGGGGTTTCACCGGGTTAGCCAGGATGGTCTCGATCTCCTGACCTCGTGATCCGCCCGTCTCGGCCTCCCAAAGTGCTGGGATTACAGGCTTGAGCCACCGCGCCCGGCCACATGTCTAATTCATAAAAGATAATTTGCAGACTTTTATGCAAATAAATGTGAAAACTTAGATGAAATGGATAATTTCCTATGGAAATATAATACAAATAATGAAAAAAAATACAAATAAAAATTGACCCCATTAGAGCAAAAAAGCTTAAACAGACTAATTTTCACACACACAAAAAATAGTCAACATTATTAAGGAACTATCCCACACAAAACAATACTAGGTCTAGATGGTTTCAGAGGGGGATGCTAACAAACTTCCAAAAACCAGAGTCCCAATGTTCTAAAATTATATAAGTATATAACATACAAATAATTATAAACATAAATTATAATGTACTATAAATTATAATGAAATATAAATTATTTCATTAAAGGAACCAAGACAGTGACCTTTCTTGATTCCCTTAATATGATACCTAGGCCAGATAAAGACAATTCAAAGATGGATAACTATAGACTCACATCAATTATGAATGTTGACATAAAAATTCTAAACAATATTTTGGCGAACTCAATTCAACATCACATTATGAAAAACATACTCCATGACAAAGTGAGATTTATTCCAGGAAAGCAAGGTGAGTTTGGTACTAGAAAACTCATCAACAGATGCTATGTTAATGCATGTAAGGAAATAAAGTGTATGATTATCTTCATAAATGCTGAACAAACCTTTGACAAAATTCAACAATCATTCATGATAAAAACACTCAATAGGCATCAAGGGGCATTTTCTTAGTAAATTATGTACATATCTTAATCTTAAAGCAAGTATCTTGTTTAATGGAGAGACAAAAATACTTCAACAGAAGTATTTCTACTAAAGTCAGGAACAAGGCAAGCATGCCTACTATTCCTGCTACTATTTTAACATTGTACCTGAGTTATTAGCCAATGCTAATAGAAAAACAATAAAAGGCATACAAAGGGGTAATGAGGTAAAACTATCTCTATTTTCAGATGATATCATACTATACCTGGAGAACTCAAGACAATCAGTGAGATAAGAGAATAACAGAGTTCAGTAAGTAGCAAGATATAAAATGACACAGAATTCAACGGCTTTCATATATATGAACAACATTGGGCATCAGTTACATGTCTGTATATAATAGCAAGAAAGAAAACTAAATACTTGTAGACTAGTGGTTTTCAACTCAGGATGATTTTACCTCCCAATTGAAATTTTGCAACATCTGGAGACATAATTTTGGTTGTTATAAATGTGAGGGTGCTACTGACATCTAGTGGATGGAGGTCAGGGATACCACTAAACATCCTACAATACACAGGATAGCCTCCCATAAAAGAGAAATATCTAGCCCCAAATGTCAACAGTGCTAAGGTTATGAAACTCCGAGCCAGATAAGTCAATACCATCCTAAGGTTCCTTTGGAACAACAAACATTCAAGAACAGTGAGGGAAACAATGAAAAAGAAAAACCATGAGAGGATACTAGTCCTACCAGACATTAAAACATACTATAGATCCTCTACAATAAACAAGGAGACCACCGGCAAAGGTGATGAGATGTCTCACTTCTGAGATGACATTTTGTTACATAAGACTCTATCTTGCTAGAGGACTTGCTCTGGAGATTCTCCATAGCTGGCTTTGAAGTAAGTGGCCATGCTGGAAAGGAGGCCATGTGGCAAGAAGCTAAGGACAGCCTCTAGTCAACACCAAGAAGATGAGGCCCTCTGTCCAGAACCACAAGGAAACAAATTCTGCCAACAACCTGTGTAAGCTGAAAGCAGATTCTTCCCCAGTATAGCCTCCAGATGAGAACCAGCCTGGACAACACCTTTAGTGCAGCTTTGTCAGACCCTAAGCAGAGCACCCAATTAAGCTGTGTCCAGATTGCTACTTTAAGCCATAGGTTTATGGGAATATTGTTGTGGAGTAATAGATAACTAATACAACACAATATAAGCAATGAGCATACTTAGTGCTCAGATCTTGGTTTCTAAGCAAAATTCTCTAATTAAGGGAACCAGGCTTCTCAAAGAAGTGCCTGATTCTGGCACTTCTCACTAGGATGAGCCCGGAACATCCCGTGTGTCAGAAAGTAAGAAAGTGCTCCAAATAGTACGAAGTCATGTCAGAAGGACATGGAAGCCAACCTGAAGGAACTCTTAGTGGTCCAAGTTGGAATAACTTGAGCAACCAGATAAATATTGATGGTATTGGACTTTCATCTATAGAACAAAAGAGATATATAAATAGAGGGAGAAAAGACAACTCTTCCTTACAGATGGATTCCAATTAATGTAGGAGGAAAGGGAGAAATCAAAAATCATTACTAATAGTACCCATAGTAGTAACTGTTGCAGGCAAGATCCACCAATGGATGCTAAAATTAGTGGGTGAAAGTTTGAGAAATGGAATATATAGACTCAAAGTATCTCCCTTCCATGTTCATTAACAACAGAGGAAAAGATTGTGACTTCACAGTAAGAAACCCAGCAGATACCACCTTAACCAAGGAATCAAGGCTAACATGACAGTAATGAAACATGCTGATATCATGAAGCCTTGAAATGAGGCAAGAAGGACATATAATTTCTGTGAAATATTTGCCAAAAAAGCATAACTGCATTGCAATCATGAAAAAACATCACACAAACCCAAACCAAGAGATATTCTACAAAATAAACTGACCAGTAGTCTTCAAAGGTGTCCAAGGCAGAAAAAAAGAAAAGACTGAGAAACTGTCATAGGTTAGAGGATGCTTAGGAAAAACAACAACTAAATGCAATGTGGGACTCCAGATAGAATTCTGAAACAGAAAGTGATGTTAGTGAAAGTCTATAGTTTGTTAACGGTATTGTACCAATGCTAATTCTTTAGTTTTGATAATTTTACTGGGCACATAAGACATTAAAATTAAGGAATGCTGGGAGAGGACCATATGGGAAACCTTTGTATTATTTTTACAACTTTACCATTAGTCTAAAATTAGTTCAAAATAAAAAGTTTAACTTACAACTCATTAAAAGGCAAATGACCCAACTGAAAAATGGACATAGGATCTTAACAGGCATTTCTCCAGGAAGACATACAGATGGCGAGTAAGCACATGAAAAGACACTCAACATCATTAGTTATCAGGGCATTGCAAATCAAAACCACCATGCAATATCACTTCAAACCCACTACGATGGCTAGAACCAAAGTCATAGAAAAACAAGTACTGGTAAGGATAAGGAGAAATTTTTTTAAATCATCATTGTTGGTAAGCATGTAAAATGGTACAGCAGTTTTGGAAACAGCTTGGCAGTTCCTCAAACAATTAATTACACAGACTCAGCAATTCCACTTCTAGGGATATATCCAAGGAAAAAAAAAAAAACTTTACACACAAAACCTTGCAAACGAATGTTCATAGTAGCGTATCCATAATAGCCAAAAGATGAAAACAACCCAATTGTCCATCAAAGCACAAATGGATGAACAGAATGTGGTATCTACACAATGGAATATTATTCAGTCATAAAAATGAATGAAATACTGATACATGCTACAGTATGAAAGAAACTTTAAAACATGCTGGGTGAAAGAAGCCAGTTGCAAATACCACATATTCTATTATTCCATTCATTTGAAATGTCTAGAACAGGGAAATCTAGAGAGACAAGAAGTTGATTAGTGGTTGCCTAGAATTGGGGGATAGGAAAGAGATAATTAAAGGGTACAGGGTTTCTTTTTAAGTAAAGAAATGTTGTAAAATTGACTCTGGTAATGGTTGCACATATCTATGAATATACTAAAAACCAGAATATTGCACACTTTTTTTTTTTTCTTTTTTGAGACAGAGTCTCACTCTGTTACCCAGGTTGGAGTGCTGTGGTATAATCTCAGTTCACTGCAACATCTGCCTCTGGGTTCAAGGTGATTTTCCTGCCTCAGTCTCCCGAGTAGCTGGGACTATAGGCACGCACTACCATGCCTGGCTACTTTTTGCATTTTTAGTAGAGATGGGGGCCAGACTGGTCTTGAACTCCTGGCCTCAAGTGATCCACCTGCCTCAGCCTCCCACAGTGCTGGGATTACAGGTGTGAGCCACCATGTCTGGCCTAAATTGTACAGTTTAAATTGTGTGAACTGTATCTCTCAATAGCTGTTAAAAAAAAGAAAAAAAAAGAAAAAAGAAAGAGAAAGAAAGAAAGAAAAGAAAAAAGAAAAGAAAAGAAAAAAAGAAAGGCCCCTTGGTCCTTAATTTCACTTTTAATTTTCTTTTACCCTCCCTTATATTACTGCCATCTGCTGGTTATTGTTTTAAAATACCCATGAAAATCATTCTTTTTTGTTAGATGTGATCACTGTTGTCTAGTTTTGCTAAAAAATTTTTCTTATTTTTTAGAGAGAGATATATAGAAGTGTTTTCAGAATTAAATGACTCAATATTTGAGACTCTAAAATACAACAAAAAGGATAGATGAAGCAAATATGACAGTGTTGATAACTGTTGAACCTGAGGAATGGATAAATTGGAGGAGGGCACTATTCTCTTTGTTGGGGTATGTTTGAAATTTACAAAAATAAAGAGAAAGGACTGTTCTTTTGAGAGTAAAGGACACATAAATCACTTTGACTTCTAGGGAAAAAGGTAGGAAATAAACAAATGGGGTAACAAAAATAGCTTGCAAATCACAGGCCACGAATTTTAAAAATTATAATTATCAGGTTACAATTTAAAATATGACAGTAGTAGAACTAGGAACTAACCAAAAGTAAATCAATTTAAATCCAGACAACCCTCCAATCCCCCAAAAATAGCCTGTTCAAAGTACATATTTCTTCAAATCTTACCCAAATCATACTGTGGTTGTTACATATCAATAATATACGTTTTATTTAATTATCAGAAGTGCTCAAATACTAATTCAGGCAGAACATTTTTTAAGGATATATTTTATAATGGCATACTAAAATCACTTGAAATACCTACTCTCTGAGGCTTGGCTCTTTAAAATGGAAAGGAGCACACCTTCTTCTTCTGCTTGTCCGTTCTGAAGATAGATCTGCTGACTTATTTTCAGATTCAGCAGTGTTATTTGAAACAAAACTGGTATTTGTCAAGTCCTGTAATGGTCTATCACCTGAAAAGAATATGATTTTTCACAAATATTTTTAAAAGTATATAGAGATACAAATAGATATGACCTATGGCTTGCAAATCCCTGCAGCAAATTTTAAATCTTGATTCAATTTTGAGAGGAAAGAGACTAACATTTGAAACAAACTGTCAGAGTAGCCGGCAACTTTTTTATTCTGAAATCACATATGGGTCCCAAAAGTTCATCCTAGTCCAACTCTTTTCATGGAAGCACACAAATTACAAAACATTCATTCAACATATATGCCACTGATCACTCACTCTGTGAAAGGCACAATGAGGAGCAGATAAAAAATGTCTCACCAGTCCTCTAACAAATCCTGCAACTCTAGACCTTTGTAATTCTTTTGCTTTGGTGTGCCTTTACCTGGAATTGACTTACCCACCAAAACCTTAGGGATCTACACACATATATTGAAATAATAGGCTCCCAGTAAAAATTTTTAATTGGTATAGGAATGTTTAATATTACAAAATTTCTAACGGCAAAAGAACTTTAGGATTCACTGTTAAGGAAAAAAATGAGATAAGTAATGTTATATATAGTGTGACTTCAAATATATATTTAAAATTCCATAGATTTGGGTCTGCATGCACATGGTAAACGGACTAAAGTTCTCCCAGGTGATTATTTTCCCTTCCCTTTTTGACTTTCTACTTTTGATTTTCTGCAATGAGTACTGTTTTAATAACTGGGAAAAAATAAGAAGTAAATACTACAGGTAAAAATCTGACTTATCCTTTAGGGCCTAAAATGCTACCTATTTAAGGATGCTTTTGAAGATTCCTCTAGTCAAAATTACGCCCCATTATATCCCTTAGCATAATACATGTGCTTAAAGAATCATTTATTCCATTTCACCATGATGTTTGTTACATGCATGGAATCTGAGGAAAGGGGGTTGGTACTGTTTATTTTTCAATCCTCTAAAATATCTAGAAGGGTTTGATCACATTAAATATATGTTGTTGAATGGGGGAAGTCTCTCACTCTCAAGAAAAGTGCAACTGTCTTCAGTAAAATAAAAACCAGTACAATTCATTATTATATACATTTAAAACATTCAATTTTCTTCAAATGTATGAAAAAGGAAATTATTTGCCTAAGGTCTTTATTAGGCAAGTTTGTGGTAAAGGCCAAATCCATTTGTAGTTGTAAATGTCCAAGATACTCTCACTGTTATTTCCCAAAGTATGAAACTTTCTTTATTCCTTCATGCTATTTCTATGGATCATGTACTCAGTTATACATTGTTTTTAAATTCCGTAAAAATACCACTTAGAAAATACTTCATTGGCTAAGTAAAAAACAAAAACAAAAACCAAAACACTTCTAAAGCTTTATCATTTCATAATGGTTATTAACCTACCTATTCCTGACTTTTGGGTTCTCCGGTTGACTTTAAATTTCATCTTGTTCATTTTCTCATGCTCATCATCACTTACTTGAAAGGCTGGTGAGCACTCCAAGGCAAAATTTTCTTTTATTATCACATTTTTACTAGAAGAAATGTTCAAAGGTGTTAAACCTTCACGAACACTGTGAAAGGAAGAATCTTGTATGTTGGGTGAATATATCTCAGACAAAGATTTAAATGCCTTTGTGTAAAAGTCTGGCTTATTTTTGACCATTTTCTGATTCTCCAAATTGTTTTCCTTATCAGCTTGTTCAGATGCAGTAGACTTTCCCTGAATGCTGTCAAGTATTCTTTCCATTACTTCATGGCTCTCTGGAGAAGGATCTATGGAGGTCTTCCTTTTCTTTGACTTAGATGTCATTTTATTTACCTTTTTAACTTGACATTCTCCTTCTTTTATTTCTTCCACAAAAGGGGTATCTCCTTTTTTATTCAAAGTGGTAGTGCTTTGCTTCTGAGTCTTACATAGTTCAACCGGGTTTCCTGGATCAGAATCTGCTTCACTAGTAATATGTTTTAAATCAGATTCTAAGGAGACAGATGTCTGTGAAGATTCTGTTAACTGTGAAGCAAGTTTGTTCTTACCTTTTGTCAAAATGTTCTTTGCCTTGCATGATGATTCTTTCTTACACTTTTTAACTACTTTGTAGGAATCTGAAATTTGATCACAACTTTCCTTTTCATTACTGTTGATTTCCATATAGTGTTCATTGATAATGTCTTGGCATTTAGGTTTTTGTTTAGATTTATTTACTTTAAAATCAAGATCTTTTGTATAGCTTTCTTGGACATGTACATCTTTATCATTATCCTCATATATCTGGTTCACTTCAGAAATTATTTCTGTGTTCCAATTCACTTTATTCCTGAGCTTCTTATTTATTTTTGATTCATTTTGCTCAACAGATTTCCTATCAGTAACATACTTTTTCAAATCCAATATACTCTGGGTGTCATAATCACATAAATTTCCATTATCTTTGATGGGAAGATCAACTGTTTGAAATTCATTTGTGACTTGTAGATTTTCAGAAATTGTTTCTTTGTCCTTTGGGGTTAGAGAAAAGAAGTTATCTTTTTCTAGGTCATGTACACCTTTGTCATCATTCTCATATATTTGATTGGTTTCAGGAATTATTTCCGACTTTTGAGATACATTTAGTCGAAGCTTCTTACCTATTTTTGAATCATTTTGACAAGCAGGTTGCCTATCATGGACATGTTTCACCCCCAAAACATTTTGAATCTCAGAATCATACAGGTTTCCACTATCTTTGGTAGAAACAGTAGGTGTTTCAAACTCACTTGGGTCTTCTAGGTTTCCAGGGATGATTTCCTTATCTTTTTGAGTTAAAAAGAGTGAGTGACTTTTAACTGTGTATTCTATACTTTTTTCATTATCTAAATGATTCACTTCAGAAATTATTTCTGTCTTCCGATTTACTTTCTGCCGAAGCTTCTTATTAACTTTTGATTCATTTTGCTGAACGGGGTACATATTGGTGATCTGCTTTTGCAAACCCAACACATTCTGGGTCCTATAGTCATATTGATTTTCATTATCTCCGGTAGAAAGAGCTGGGATTTGAAGCTCTTTGGAAACTTCTATGTTTTCAGAGATAGGTTCTTTATCCTCTTGGGTTTCGGAAAAAAAATTATCTTTTTTTAGGCCATGCACCACATCTTTATCATTATCCTCATACATGTGGTTCATTCCAGAAATTATTTCTGTCTTCCGGTTTACTTTCTTTCTAAGCTTATTAATGTTTGATTCATTCTGCTCAGAAGGTTGAATATCAGTGACATACGTTTTCGAATCCAATATATTGTGGGTCCCATAATCACATAAATTTCCATTATCTTTGGTGGAAAGACTGACTGTTTGAAATTCATTTGCGACATCTAGGTTTTCATAAATGGTTACTTTATCCTTTTGGTTTGGCAGTAAGTTATCTTTTTCTAATTTGTGAATCACAAATGTCTGTCTAGAAGCTTTACTTTTATTACAAGTTAGGGAATTCTGACCCTTATCAAGTTTACTCTCCTGGTGAAATTTATCTGAACTTTGGGATAAAGAGTATGTTTCCCCTTGCTCATTTGTTATTCTTTTCTTCTTTTTATTACATGGTATGTTTTCTCTTTCACCTTGTTCAAAGCCAGTTTGAAGGGTCATTTTCTTCAGTTCATTCACCTGAGCCAGCTGTTCATTATTGAAAATAAAACCAGGATCTTCAGCATCCCTTTTGCCATCCAGGACATCAGATCTTTCTGGCCTCTTTTCAATCTTTTCCCCGATATCCACATCTAAACTATTTTTAAACTGTCTCTTTGATCTTTCTCTCTTTTTTTCAGAGCTTGAATCTTTCACTTTTCTGAAAGTTTTCATTCCATGTTCATTTGTTTTTTTATTACTTTTCTTTTTAATGCCTGTTGAAACTGTGACAATTTTGCTGACTTCACTAGCAGTTAAATCCATGTCAGCATCATACACAGTTTTCTGCAATTGAAAGTCATCATTATCCTCAACTTGATTCATGCACTCTGCATTAGGTTCTCTGGCAGACTCAGAAGATAAGCCAGGAAGATCCTGTTTATTTCTTTGCATTTCAGTATTTGTTTCATTAGTATGACCATTTATCTCATCATTGCAATTTAATTCTGGACTTGAAATGTGTTGTTGATCTAAAACTGTTGCACAGGGAGTGTCTGCAGAAAGATTATTTGATTCCCAAGATGACCCACGCTTCTTCCTTTCAGTCACATTACTAGGAGATGGTTTCTCCCATCTGTGGCCAATAGATTGGGCATTTCTCATCTCACTCGTTAGAGAACTCTTAGAACTTTGGTCTGAGTGGGAATGGCTTTCTATTAAGAAAAGGAAAACAAAACTCAGAAATAAGTAATGAAATAAGTAATAAGTTACTTTAAATAAATTAGATTAGAAATCAAGCTGTTTCACAGATATAATTTCTGACAATGTGTTCTGCTCAGATCCTAATATTACTAAGAATCTATGCTTATAAGAAAATAAGTTAGAAATGATGAGTACTCCTAAATCACATTTTACATTTGTATCTATAGAAAATATATACTGAGAATTCTGCCTCAGCCCCAACAGTAGAGTGGAGTACAGCCAACAGTAGAGCCATTAGCATACATTTCTAGAGTGGAAGGAGGCCAGCAAATGAACCCAAATAATAGTGATAACTCTGAAAAGGATTACTATCAAAGACTATCAACAGGCAGCTAAAATTTATATAAATTATATATACATATATTAATATATGTATGTGTGTAAATATATATACACGTATATACATATACTGTATACATTATGTGTATACCATATATATGTGTGTATATGTGTGTGTATATATTATATACGTGTACATACACACACATACACACACACACACACACACACATATTTTCAGAAAGGAAAAACAATTCTAACCTCTAAATTCAAAATTGTTATGGTTCCATATCCCAGTCTGAAAATCTATGGCAAATCTGTAAGCACCAGACTACATCACAGATTATCATTTAGGAATACTATGTAAATATAATGTAAATGCCATCTTTTTTCTTGCTCAACCATTACCCAGGCTCAAGTTTTTGCTTTACCACTAAGTGGTGATGATCTTAAAAGAGTCTCTATATCTATCTAGACCCCAATTTTCATATCTACAAAAAAAGAGGGTAAAATTAAGTAAATATATGGTATCTTTCAAATCATAAGCTAAGATACCAAGAAAAGCTCATTAGGTCCCTTTATTTCTAAACACTTCTTCCAGAGTAACAGTATTAGGCCACTGTGGATCTGATGTTTGTCAGCATATTTACTTTAAAATTAAATCTATCACCAGCAGTTTTAAATGGCAGAAGTTAGCAAATCTGTAACATAAGAGAGCTAACTTATTAACTGTTACACATAATTGCCCTCAGGAAGAATACTGGATGAATGTAAATAATACAAATATTCAAAATGAATTTTTAAAACAATCTCACCTCTGGGAGGTACATCAACTATAGAAGAAATATGTTCTGAATCATCTAAACCATATACATTTTGATTATTTTCTTTAAGAAATAACACTTCCAAATTATCCTGAGTTGATAAAGGTTGTGTTGTTGATCCTGAAGAGGGAATATCAGGTAACGTCTTTGATTTAACATTGTTGTCACACTGCATTTTCTCTTTATCATCATCTTCATCATCATTTGAAGGTAATGGAACCCTAAAGGCAAGTGGAAAGGAAATAAGAAATTATGTATTTCATAAACTTTTTAAATGCATGGACAGTTATTTGTATATTCTATTTAAGATCAAACCACAAATCCACCCTGGTACTTTTTCAAGTTCAATGAAGACATTTAAAGGTAGGAAATGAGTAGTTCCTACTAGAACAGAACTTGGAAGGAAACAGGAATGCTTCTTAACCCCTTAGTCACAGTGGCCCCAAAAGAAGATAATTTGGGGGGCGGAGCAAGATGGCCGAATAGGAACAGCTCCAGTCTCCAACTCCCAGCGCGAGCGACACAAAAGACCGGTGATTTCTGCATTTTCAACTGAGGAGGCATTCACGCTACCTGACTTCAAACTATACTACAAGGCTACAGTAACACCAAAACAGCCATGGTACTGGTACCAAAACAGAGATATAGACCAATGGAACAGAACAGAGTCCTCAGAAATAATACCACACATCTACAGCCTTTGATCTGTGACAACCTGAGAGAAACAAGAAATGGGAAAGGATTCCCTATTTAATAAATGGGTGCTGGGAAATTGGCTAGCCATAAGTAGAAAGCTGAAACTGGATCCTTTTCCTTACTCCTTATACGAAAATTAATCAAGATGGATTAGAGACTATAATGTTAGACCAATACCATAAAAATCCTAGAGGAACCTAGGTAGTACCATTCAGGACATAGGCCATGGGCAAAGACTTCATGTCTAAAACACCAAAAGCAACAACGCAAAAGCCAAAATTGACAATGGGATTCATTAAACTAAGAGCTTTGCACATCAAAAGAACTACCATCAGAGTGAACAGAGAACCTACAGAATGGGAGAAAATTTTTGCAATCTACCATCTGACAAAGGGCTAATATCCAGACCTACAAAGAACTCAAAACAAATTGACAAGAAAAAAACAAACAACCCATCAAAAATAGTGGGCAAAGGATATGAACAGACATTTCTCAAAAGAAGACATTCATACAGCCAACAGACACATGAAAAATGTTCATCATCCACTGGCCATCGAGAAATGCAAATCAAAACCACAATGAGATACCATCTCACACCAGTTAGAATGGCGATCATTAAAAAGTCAGGAAACAACAGTGCTGGAGAGGATGTGGAGAAATAGGAACACTTTTACACTGTTGGTGGGATTGTAAACTAGTTCAACCATTATGGAAACAGTATGGCGATTCCTCAAGGATCTAGAACTAGATGTACCATATGACCCAGCCATCCCATTACTGGGTATATACCCAAAGGATTATAAATTATGCTGCTATAAAGACCACATGCACACGTATGTTTATTGCAGCACTATTCACAATAGCAAAGACTTGGAATCAACCCAAATGTCCATCAGTGACAGATTGGATTAAGAAAATGTGGCACATATACACCATGGAATACTATGCAGCCATAAAAAAGGATGAGTTTGTGTCCTTTGTAGGGACATGGATGCAGCTGGAAACCATCATTCTTAGCAAACTATCACAAGAACTGAAAACCAAACACGCATGTTCTCACTCATAGGTGGGAACTGAACAATGAGATCACTTGGACTCAGGAAGGGGAACATCACACACCGGGCCTATCATGGGGAGGAGGGGAGGGGGACTGCATTGGGAGTTATACCTGATGTAAATGACGAGTTGATGGTGTGCAGCACGCAACATGGCACAAGTATACATATGTAACAACCTGCACGTTATGCACATGTACCTACCACTTAAAGTATAATAATAATAAATAAATTTAAAAAAAAATAAAAAAAAAAATCTTAAAAAAACAACAACA